AAAGTGAACGTTTGTTTGCTCATGGGAATTTAAAAATGCTTCGTAAATTGTAATATGCGTAATATGCATTCGTGGGTTTAGTACTTTATGCCTGACATAACAAGTTTACGCTGAGTATTACCATTCATTATAGCAGTTATGTCAATCTTTTATGCACTCGTGGGATTAACTTAGTGCTAGGGCATTGAATATCGAACAATACGTCAATTTCAATGATTTTGGGGTTTTTTGAGACACCCTGTATATCGTTTTGTGGGCAAATAAATATCTATCTATCTATCTAAAAATAGACTGAATCGAAAAATTCTTTTTTCTTCCGAAATTAATTTCAAATGAGATAATCACTGCCGCCTTATAGAATACCTCAAGAAGTACGGTTTTACAAAGTATAAATTCAATCCCATGTATTCTCCTTGGGAAATTAAATGTGAAAAACACCGAATATTATGCTAGGTTTAGCAATTGAGAAGACTGACAAGCTTCGTTTTGGTGGTTTTTGCACATTTCAAAGGGCTATAATTTCACTTGAATGGATTGTCTCCAATCTTAAATTCTTACACTTTGCCTTAAACACGGTCTCTATTGAAAAATTGTTTATTAGCCTTGTAATGCATAAAATATAAATAATGTAAAATTGTGGTAGCTAGTTTTGCAATCAGTCAATGGTGAATGGTCTACAGTATTTATATACAGCCAATTCAAAACAGGTTGTCCTAAGTTGCAAACCTTAAACTCTAAGCGCGCAAAGCTTAATGGGAGGACAAAGTTTCAAGCTTTATAGTAGTTGAATATTGCAGCTATCTGTGAATGAATTGTTCTTGTAAGGAGATATTTAATTACCATGTCTCTAAGAAATGCCCGCCCCCCCCCTCCCCCCCCCATCCCCTCCCCCCCATACATGATTTCTAAACTGATTAAATGATGCTCCATTATGCTTTGCACAATTAGAGTTTAAGGTCTAAAGTTTCAGGTTTGCAAAGGACAAACTTTTTTGACCACCACACTTTTTTCTTCAAACATTGTATGCCCTCATTTCCAGAGAAAGGAATAGAATAAGTGGCCTACTCTAATATGGAAGCTCTTAAAACATAGTGCCTAACATATATGTGCAAGTCAATTAAGGAGCTGGAGGAAGGGAGGATTACCCTGTTTCAAACAGGGGCGCACATTAGGGGGGGTGTGGGGGGGTGTGACACCCCCCCATGTTTTGTGAAATATATCTAAAAAGTCGGTCCCAAAACCTGAATGGGGACGAAAAAGTCGGTCCGGCTAAAATCTGAAAGATATCATCATTTTGTGTCGAAAAAAGTAATAGGTGAACATTCTGGAAATGGAAGTTGCATAAACATAAGAAAAACGAATTAGACAAAGAAAAACGAATATACACAAATTAGAGTTCACTGACACAAACCAAGAGAGCAAATAATCAACTTCTGTGTTGCAACAGTTCAGCCAACGTAATGCGATCCGATTACCTCAAGCCCCCGCGGTGCAGTTAAAATGCGCATTGTTAGTTTTGTCGCAAAAGCTGAAACTTTGGAAGGCAGAAGTAAATCAGCGGCGTAGCCAAGATGGGGGCTCGGGGGGCTCTGCAATGGGCATAAGGACTGCCCTTGTGGAAAACTGAAATCCGGGCAGAAATTGGGGTGGGGGTACGACGTGTGAATAATGATACCCATCTCCTCTGTTTGCCAATAAAGTTGAAGTCTTGCCTACCTAAAATCCTAACTCCAGTAAAAAATGCTGGTTGCTTTAAAGCACATTTGAACTTGAATTTGCGCTCAAAGCAACACTCATGACCGACTTCTACAAAAACGAAGGCATCATGCTATTTTGCTGTTGTATTTGCGTGTACAATACTATTTACATAAACATTTTTTCGATCTAACAACATTAGGCGACTTAGAAATGCCTTTTTGTGGTTGTAACTTTTCTTCAAACCTCGTCCTAAAATACGTAAAATAGCGTTCAAATGAATCTAGAAATTCAAAATTTTCCTCGCGCCTACGGCGCTCGCATTCGAAATCCATAAAAATTTTGCCCCCGCCCCCCCACCCCCATCCGAAAGTTTAGACCACTGCAAAAGTTCTGAAAAACTGAACGTTTATTTAAACTTTTGGAATACTATCCCCGTCTTACCGTCTATGCGCTTTAAATAGTTGGCTTTTCTTACCAAACACAAATACTACAAAAGTCGGTCCCAGCACATAGAACACCCCCCCCCCAATTTTTTTGCGAATGTGCGCCCCTGGTTTCAAAGCATGATCATTACAGGGAATTCATATGTTTGCAGATCACATGTGAGGACTATCATTATCAATTCCAGAGGGGAGGGGGCACAACAATGTTACAAAATAAAGTAGAAAAGGTTTTTACAAACTAGTGAATATAATGGACAATTAGGCCACTTGACTTTCAATAAGACTTCCTCATTGTAATGTAAACTTGCCACCAGACTGCAGAAGCCGGCAGTTTTTGACAAGATCATGGGGGTGTAAAACTCTCTCCAAGGGCACTTCAAGAGATAGTCAGGGGCACAAAAGTTACCAAATGATCATGAACGATGCAATTTAGATATTTGGGGGCACATACATACAGGTGTAAAAGTAACATGTGTCTTATAATACCTGTATAATGAGATATAGTGTTTCCAGTTTGACAAACACTACTTTGGGTATTCCTTTCCCCCCATGTAGTAACTCTGGATAACCCTAATTAAGTGTCATCCTCTAAAGGATGACCCCTAAAGATGCGGTACAGTCTGTACAGTATGTAAACAAAGGCTTTGTTTACATTTCGGTATCACAACTATTTATATTTTCATGATTCTAGAGTATAATAAATTATCAAGATACAACAATCAAGCTTTGCAAGAACATAAAATGAAATAAAAACCTAAATAAACTGTTTGTAAATAAAAAGATGGCTCCTTTGTCTTTGCAGCACATGTGCAGATCGGACTGTACCGCATCTTTATGCTAGCCCATTTTATACTAAGCGATTTTGTGCAAATGAAAATAAAGTTCAGGAATGCGACTATTAAAAAAATTGCCTCAAAAAAGTTGGATCAGTTCCTACTTTTTTACTTGTTGCTTCGCGCGAACTATTTTGCCTAGTGGAAAACAGGCTTTATAGTTACTGAAACTCTAGAATAAACGTTACACGATTATTACAACAAGATTTATATTGTCCATTAGATAGCTTAGTCAACCTGCCATTGAAAGCTTAATAAATCATGGAAATTTTGCAAACTTGTGATTGATGCAAACTTTATCTTGGGATTAGAGATTATGCCCCGAACAAATCCTGCCCTTTGAAGCCCCTCCCATTTTAAATTAATGCACATATTCCAGGAATATTTTCTCCTTCAAAATGTGGTCTAGTATCATTTCATGTCTTCATTACAGTACTTCATTATGAATGAAAGACCTTGATAAACTTTAATTTATACTCTTTATATTTTATAGACTTGAATCATAATTTTATATTTTTATACTATTTAATATTTCAACAGTACCATTAAAATAGGGAACAACTTCTTTGCCCGATGAAATTTGAAATTGCTCAAAATGTGAAAAACTGCAAATAATTTCTGAAAATTCTGCACAAGATGTCTCTTTGAACCAAAAACCAAGCAGATTTCTGATCTTGCTATTTGAGAAAAATGCCTTCGGACCCTGCTCTACCATAAATTTTCTGTGAAAATACCCAACATTTCTGCGCATTTTTCCCAAGGAAAAAATATTTCCTGTGCAAAATAGAACTTTTTAATCTGTCAGCATTTTCCCAGACATTTTTAGCTTCCCCCCGTGCACTTTTAGGACAAATTCACTTGCCCACACACTTTGGTAATATTTGATAATAGATATACCAGTAAATTGTGCACCTACAGTAAAGTCCACAAAGCTTGAGATAAGGCCAAATAAAAATAATAGTTGGTTTCAGGTTTCCGACCGACCTGTCAAAAATATGACCGACCATAAACATTTTATTGACATTTCCCAGTGGAGATCATCCTTTCGTAAATAGCAGAATATAGAAATAGTCGTCCGACTCATTTGTCTAGAAATTATTTTGTTTGCTTATGATTTAATCATTATCTAGTTATGTTAATCATAGTTTTCCACAAAAAGACGAAAACGCCATGATTATTCTGTGGCCTTGATGCGTCTGTTTCTCGTGAAACACTTGTAGCACGTCCGATTATGCATGACAGTTACTCATAAACAACTTAGGCTATATTTATTGCATACTTGAGATAAAATATTTTCTTAAATAAGATGTTTTTCCGACCTACCTACCCATATAAAACATGGCTGTGAAACCTGAAACCAACTATTATTTTTATTTGGCCTAACCGCGCAAAATTATGGCAGGCTGGCAGCTAATATTTGCATCATGTGCGCATTTGCAAACTTTCCAATCTGCGTTCTTGTAACGTTCAAACACATAAAATCGGTGAACAAAGTGTACGTATCTATATATGTATATAGCAAGCAACGAAAGATGGACTCACATTTAAGAACTTCAAAGTTTTGGATTCTTCTTCATACAGTATTAAAAGTATCATGATTCCAGTTCACTTTTCATGACAATGATGTGCACGTAGTCTTCCACACACAGTGTAGAGTCTTCCACACACATTTGGCAACCTTTGGGCGATATTAAAACTTTATTTAAAGAAAAATTGAAGGAATTTACTATTTTACTTGAATTTTGGTAAAAATCTGGAGCACCAAATCGGCCATCTTGAATTTGAAGGAATATACTTCGTTTTATGAAGTAATAATGATCGAAGCCAAATGACCGCTGTTCATGAAGATTTCTTATCCAACATTTCTGCCAAAATCCTGTTCCTATTTCCTATCGATTCATAACATTCATTTCGCGCACAAAATCTTCTACAATCAATTTTGGGTACAACAAAGAAAATTATTAAAACTTTATAGTCCTTATTAATAATTATTGATTTTTCTAGATCTAAGCCAAGCGGAGTCTTCTCACAAACTACAGAAACCATGACGTAATTTCCGGTTGCAATCTCGCTTCTGTTTCATTCTTTTATTTTGAAACCAAACTTTGATCTGTTTTTCAGTGAGATTTAGCTCTCTTGAAAGAACTTTTCGCTTCATTCCTACCATGTACATTTCACGATCAAATTCGTGTTGTAGTCTGCGTATTTGGTAAGGTTCAAACACAGTACGGGTCCTTCTAGATTTTGGAATAACTCTCGGGTCGTGATTATAATCTAAATCAAATGAGAATATGAGACAAACCTTATCGTAAAGTTATTGTATAAAAAAATTGAAAAAAACCATTGAAGCCCAGTCGATGATAATAGTCGACGAGAATAGTCGATGATAATGGTGTCAATAGTCGACGAGAATAGTCGATGATAATAGTCGACGAGAATAGCCTCGATGATAATAGTCGACTCATGGCACTTATCACGGTGAAAGTACTTATTGCGTATGCGAAAAGAGTGAAAAGTCAAAATTAAGAGTCAGTCAACGCGCTCTATCAAAAGGAATGCGGTTTCCTCCCACAGGGAATGTAAACAGAGTAGGTAGTATTCTACATAAGCTGTCGGCGTGGTTTGTGTCTGAACTACTTGAAAAAGATATATCAAACGTGAGGGTCAAGTGTAGGTAGTATTCTACAATAATTAAGCTGTGAACAATTTTAACAAAAAAGTCAGTGAATAATAAACAGTGACACAATGACTATATAGTTTCATAGTCTTCCTGCATTCTGGGAGCAGTTTTAAGAAAAAATCAATCTCACATCAATCACAATTGTACTACAAGTATCCAATCATAAGATTTCAACAGTTCAAGTACTCTTGGTCCAACATGATCAGTTGTATAATAAAAAACGTGTTTGTGGTAATATTTGGGACGCTAATTCGTACTTCTACCCTTCATCAGAAATTGAATAAATTTCATTCAGGATCTGTTTTTTCTAAACTTGAAGTCCTCCTGTTTTGAATTTTTTCACAAAAAATCTTACCGAGTCAACTGACTCGGTTGACTCGTAGCTAGTTACGGGCCTGCAGGACCGGTTTGTGTCTGGACTACTTGAAAAAGTTATCTCAAACGTGGTAGTCTAGTGCCAGGTATAGTATTCTAGAATAAGCTGTCGCTGTTTGTGTCTGAACTTACCTTGAAAAATATATCTCAAACGTGGTAGTCCAGTGTATAGGTATAGTATTCTAGAATAAGCTGTCATTGTTTGTGTCTGAACTACTTGAAGAAGATATCTCAAACGTGGGAGTCATGTGTAGGTATAGTATTCTACAATAAGCTGTCGTGGTACGACAACTGCCTGAACTGAAAGATCTCTCAAACGTGGACGTGCAGTGTATAGATAGGGGAGGGGAGTATTCTATAATAAGCTGTCGTGGTTTTGTATGAATTGCCCAGTGAAGATTCCTTTCAGATGTGGTTCATATATACAACCACAGTCGATTTTATTAGACCTACACAAGAACTCGCGTCACGTTTGAAATATCTTCTTCACTGAAGAAGATATTTCAATTCATTAAGTTTCAAAAGTGACACGAGTTCCTGTGTAGGTCTAATAATACACTGTGGTTTGTGTAATGAACTATATCTGAAAGGAACACCTCAAACTTGGTGTTTTGTGGCAGAGTATGCTACAATATGCTGTCGTGGTTTTCTCATGCAAGAACTGACTGAAAACGGTTACATACAGTATGTTAATACTGTAGTTGAAATTAAATGCGTTTTTCAGTAACCACCAAAGCTTACTCGACTATAAGTAAATAACTATCAGAGCACTGCCCAACTTAAGATTCCTCTAATCAATCTTTTACTTACTGGACATCTTATTATTCTCTTCATGCAACGATGTACAGTCCATCTCCATGTAGCCACCAGTCTCTAACAAACATTGCCGTCCCTTAAAACCTGAGTAACCACGAACTATTTGTGAAAATTGAAAACTTGGAATATATGGTTCAAGCTTCACTTCATCTGTATTGTTGTACTTGCAACTTTGAAATGTTTCTGACCTCTCCCCATTAATAGCTTCCCTTTCAAAACCACTGGAACTTTCTTGTACGTTTTTTGACGCACTGTGACTGTTCATATCGGAATTGCTGGTAAATCTATTCAGTTGAGGTTGCGCGTAGTTATTCACAAAATGACGTGAGGGACTATAGTTGAAGTTTTGATTTGAGATGACTGGGTACATTACAGGGACAATTTTATTTTTTTCATACTGGCAAGATTTCTGTTCTTCGATGCGAGAGCCGTGAGAATTAATCGCCATATTACTTACTTTATTTTGATAGTATTCCATAGAACAACTATTTTTGCCAAAAAAGGTTTTCATTTCTGTCCAATAATGTACGCAACTTACTTTTATAAAGGCTTGCGTCAGTTGCGTGTTATGGTAGAATATACCTAGTGTTACCAGAACGGTTAAATCCGCCCAATCCAAACAAAGTCGAGAGCCAATAACTCAACACATTCTCAAAAATAAGGAAAACACATCGCCGGGCGCCGGTCGAGCAATTTGCTTATAGGTGTGTCTGAAGATTATCTCGTGGGGGTCATAGAAGGTGAAAGGAAACAACGCGCTAGTAAAAAACGTGAGCACAGAATAACGGTCGAAGACTGAACGAAGTCAGCAGTATACGCATCTGTTCAGTCAGAATACCATAAGCACTCTGTCTATCTTGAAGGCAGGAGGATTTTTGAAGAAGGAAGCAATTTTATTATTCAATCCTGAATACAAAAGCACTTTTCGAGAAGCGAGTGCGTACTGTCTGATTCATGCATATACCGTCCGACATTTACGTACTGTATATATACTTAACATTGTTGTCAGTAACCCTGAATTTGTAACCTTGCCCTTATTTCTAACTTTTATTTTTACATTGAAACTATACAGATATGTATATACGTTTATCTTTTTAACCAATAAAGAAACATAAGATAAGATAGGGCAAGCATGCCATTAGTTCTTTTTATTCATTTGAAAAATACTGATATTTGCAGCTAGTCCATGTCATCCTATTCTGTGCTATATTGTCCTAGTCTAACATTGTTCTTTTCTATTCCATTAATTCTACTCCACTTTACACTATTTTATTCCCGTTCTATTCAGTTTATTCTATTCCATTCCAATCTGTTCTGTTCCATTCCAATCTGTTCTGTTCTGTTCCATTCCAATCTGTTCTGTTCTGTTCCATTCCATTCCAGTCTGTTCTGTTCTGTTCTGTTCTGTTCCATCAAAACTGATATCATAAATCTGTCTAGACGATTTTTTATACATTTCTCGACTGTTCCAAAATTAAACTTGTGCAAAATTAACCTCTATAATTATACACAGGTAATCTCAAATGACAATGCTAATCTGATATCTCAATTCGAAACACTCTAGATATACAGCCATACATTTATTCAATTTTTATCCATTCACTTGCAAGATAGGCATTTCAAAGCAAGCTATACATATATATTGGTTTACACCCATGCATCTTGCGTGATAGAGATTGTTTGTATACTGATTGATAATCCTCTCAGTACAATGTGGCATAAGTAGCCAGATAAAGAGGTTAAATAGCTAACTCAACATTATTTCTGATCCAGCATCTAGATTTGGGTTACTAAGAGAATTAATCTTATGTAAATGCATGTGCGCGTCATATAAGTATCATGTGGGTAAGCCAGTTAGCATGCAAATCAGTACTATGTATGTATGTCATTGGAGAACAGATTTCCCGCTCCCTTGAATGATATTATAAATTTCAAAAACAAGTTGGGTTTTTTATAAAGCGTCGTACTAAAACTTCATTAAATACACGAACTCATAGTCTTGTTTGTTAGAATTGCAGCATTTACAATAAATAATTTTCAGGTAGACACAATTAGCTATATGGAAATTCGCAGAGATAAATTATTATATATTTAAACTCCATACCGACTAAATAAACAGATTTAGCCAGGATCAACTGATGTGCCAGTACCATGCAGGTATAAATTATTTTATATAACAGCTCTACGATTCAACCTAAAGAAGCTGACATCCTGATATTTTCAGCATGTAAGTCATCTTCAGTAAAAACCTTAAGATAAAAAGGCAGGGTCTAATTTTAGTGTTCGTTTTTATTGCATTCTCTAAAGATCACGGTTGATATAAACGCAACACTTATGGCTTTATAAACTTCATATATAGTCTATCAAGAAACGATGGTCTGGAAACTATGTCGATATTTTGTATGAGTTTGTCAGGCTTCCAGACAATTGGCATTATATCTTGTCAGACTCATGTATATATACTTTCATGAGTTTCATCATGCATGTAGCCCGTGTGCAGGCCCACCGACGTAAGGGAATAGTGCTATCATGCATGTACGAGTTCTAAAACAATCCTCTTTCTTCTTCAGGTAATAGGATGAAAGCTTTTTGGCATTTTAATTCTTAACCAACACATATAGTTGACGCCATGCATGCATACTTTATTTTAATTTCTACACTGATCACAAAAGAAATCAAATTATCACCATGGCCAATGATTTAAATAATCCAAGTGTAAAAATAGTTTTACCTAGAATGTATAAACTGTTCAAGTAACTTCTAATCTTGTTATAAAAACGACAGTCTGTCGTGGCTTCACTCAGAAATGATGTTTATGGTATACCTATTTAAAATATAGTAGAGATGGTGTCGGGTTACAGTCGTACACATCCTTTGTGCATGGCATGTATCTTGGCCAGTCTTATATCTTGTTGGCCTAATTCGTTTTTCAACGAAGATCATACTATAGTGCAAGTATGAAATATAGATCCTTTATCTTTTTGTAATAATTACAAAGATGGATCGGATGAGAGGGAGTTTGCAAGATAGGCTAGGGTATGATTAGGGTTAGGTGTAGGTGTAGGGTAAGATTTCGGGTGAGGTTTGGGCTACAAGTGCCTGATTATTGGTGTCAGATGGTTGATTCACGCTGTAACGATCTTAAAACAAGCCGTTATCTTGAAAACCTCCCTCTCATCTATGATCTATCCTCTCTGACGATCTCATCTTTTTGGTAGAAATATGTTTTGGATGTGTATTATGTAGTTATGAAGTCTTTCAAATTTATTTGAATAAACTACTTTCTCATGCTGTGTGTTTCGCAGGTTGAAACCAAATTGAAAAAACTCATTAATGAGGAAATTAAAAAACAAAGGAAATCGTCGGTGGTTTTACTATGTGCGTATAAGCAATTCTATAAGGTCTATTGACATGATTTTTCTCAATTTTTAATACAGAGGACGTCTGGAATACAAAGTGCATTAATTGTTTGACACTTTTGGGTCAATAATTCATTGTTTGAAGTAGTTCTAAGGTTCATTTACATTAACTTTAACTTCGATATTTTCGACTTAGACAACGTTGTTTTTTAAAATTACTTCGCCAACTCATAAGATGGGTCGTTTTCTAAGCTCTCAGTCCATGCTTTAACAGATATAAGACACTAGCTCGACTGTCGCCTCGTGTTTTGTATCTGGTAAAGCACTCCCGCTCGTGTTTTAAATAGTACTTATGAGTTATGAACGTGATTAATATATGTTTCGTTGTCGTTCTTTATTACTGTGAGAAATGATTGGTTGAAATTTGCGAGAATGTCAGCTTGTTCCAATAAGCAATAGTTCACCAAGGTTAACAAAGGTTCATGGGCCTTATGCCAATTTTTGGTGACAGTACTGCTGTTGTTTTTCTCAGTTTATATTTGACATTATTTTCCGGTTGTAGGCCCACGGCTCAACAATAACTGCAAGTCATGTAAATATTTATCAGGACGGATTGCCAACCACTTTGGTCCAACCCTCTTCTTGAAAATGTGAGGAGAATAAAATATTACGACTTGTCAAATACTGCATAATTGAGTGTAATTTCTATACAATTTCAATAAAGCATTGCCATTGGAGAAACAAATTATATAATGTAAAGCCAAACCGCGAGAAGCATCATTTTCCCAATTGCATCATTCCCACAGAAATACGGTCCTGGAAGGACTTTTACTTTCCTGTAAGGTGCCGGTTTTCCATAGTTTTTAGACGTACGAAGTTCGCTCGAAACGTCAAAATATTTTTCAGGTCGTTATATAGATGTTGGCTCTAATATAGATCATTCATTCATTCATTCATTCTGGTAAAGAATAGGTGTTATTTTTCTTTAAGATCTAGTCAGTTCTTTTGACTCTGGTGCGGTGATTTTTTAAACCTTGCCCAAAATTTAGAAGAAAGGGTTCACCTAGCTGGTCTCACTCTCGGTTATACAGAGGGTGTATATAGTAAATAACCGAACTGTATGAGAGAACTGTAGATGGGCATGCACTATATCTACGCCGGTACAGGCCGTTCGAGTTTATATCACGAACGAAATATATAACCGTCAGTTCAATCTCCACATTAACCGTTTGAGGATTACAACACAAAAAGACCAAAAACTAATTGAATGTTTTATTACATTAAATTTGTGAAACGGTTTCATATGCATTATCCATTTTCAACACACGCGTTAGTTGGAACCAAAGTATGTGTATTGCAGCGGATCAATAATGGTCAACCTCCGTTGAAGACTATGCACATGACAACCATTAGGCTAATACTCGAAGACCTGATGAGGTTAAGATTTACTAAAAATTAGGACTGTGCATGTTTAATTTTTAAAATATCCTTTTTAATTTTCTAAGAATCTCGTTTATAAGAAATTGAGACTGAAATTAGCAATTTTAAAGATGTCTGTGATGTTACTCTGAGTGTGCGTCCACACCGGGCAAGCTGAAAAGTTTGCTTGGCCATGAACGGTGGGAATCGAACCCGTGACCTTAGTCCAATGCTCTGCCAACTGAGCTACGTGGTCAAGTCGGTTCGAGTTGATGATATTTCGGAACTGAGTCTAGTTCATTCGATATCAGTGTATTCTATGATATGATTTTTTCTGATATCGAAGGAACTAGACTCAGTTTCGAAATATCATCAACTCGAACCGACTTGACCACGTAGCTCAGTTGGCAGAGCATTGGACTAGTATCCCTAAGGTCGCGGGTTCGATTCCCACCGTGGCCAAGCAAACTTTTCAGCTTGCCCGCTGTGGATGCATACTCAGAGTAACATCACAAACATCATATTCACCTGAGTACGCAACACCAACACTCACACACACACACAAATTTTAAAGATGTGCTAAGAATATTCCCAATATTCACATGACGCTTTTATATATTCACTAGTATTAAAAGCAAATGTAATTTTCCACGCTATCTTTCCAACAAAGGCCGGTAGGTATGGTAGAACGTCATTTTAACAGAGTATAGCCCATTCAGAAAATAGGTGGTATCCGGGGCCCTGTGATTTAAAAACCATGTACATATACAGATGGCAATATGCTCAATTAAACTGTTTACAAAGTATAAGAAAATTTTACACATGTCCAAACAGATTATGCATATAGTTAATAATTAGTGCATGACGAAATAGGTTAGAGGATCGAGTTTCAGATACAGAGACTCAGTGTGAACAGTGAGTGATTACAGTTACGTAGCCCATGCGCTTAGACCAAGATCGTGAATAGTGATTTGTGAGATTTTTTACCACATAACCAAAACTCCGTGATTGTGTCGAAAACTACAGTTCAGCTGAGGGAGCATTGTCAACAGAAGGAAGAGTGTCTTGGCATGTTTGATATTAGCAGGAACTGTACTACTTCAATACTATAATTTTGCTCCAAATGTCGATGTTCTGCTCATATTTTCAGGTAGTTTGGTATAACCCTCACATTGCAGCTGTTAGAATATACCCAAGGCTGTCAATATTGCTGTATGTTGCCGCTGCCTGTATGTCATTGCTGTATATGAGTTGCCTTATGTGTTGCTCAGTATGTGTTAGTTAGCATATCTATATATAGTATATATCGGGCGCCAGTGAAGATTTTACCGCGTGTTTAAATAAATTGTTTTGTATTGTATTCTGTTGTATTACACTGGGTCATCTTCTTGTTATAGAGAGTATTGAAATACAAAAAATTGGATCGTTAAACTGCAAGACAGCTCTGCACAATTAACATATATCGCGGCAGCTTTTATATATCTGTACTTCAAATTCATAACTCTCCCATTGACTCTCCATACAGATAAAAAGTCAGTCTTCAATTTGCAGCGGCCCGCTGAGAAAGCTGTCTTCTCTATTTAACGTGATAAATTAAGTTGTTGGCACTAATTTCAACCATGCACGGTCAACGCTCAAGCATGAAGCCCAGTGTTAAGTTGTCACAACTCTTCTTAATCGTCATTTTCTTTCTTTCTCGGATTTAGTTTGGGCTTTCTCTTGAACAAAGACTTTGGTCTTGAATGAAGAAAATATAGGAATCACTATTTTTTCATGAATTTATATGGAGATTCTAATGTTACCAAGTTCAGTATATGCGAAGTCTATATTATAATGAAGAAGAGTGAAATCACTTTCACTTATTTTTATCAAAACAACTTTATTATACAAGATACTAAAAAGAAACTGGACTTGTATATACAGCTCACAAACAACAACATCGAGCTCATAGTGATCAAAGCCAAAGGCGGATACATGCAGTATAGTCTACAGAATTAAATATTACAGACAACATGACAACAACTGCAGAAATATAGATTACAGAAAATAGAAGTAAAAGAAGTATAGTATAAACTTATACTGAGAGCATTCGAATAATTAAAAAAACCTGAAAAAATGCAGTGCGCGATACTTTTATATATTGTAATGCAAACAAATAATTGATATAATCATGACTAAACTAGTGGCAATGAAGCCAGACAGCCACAGGTCATCCTTCATCATTCAATATTTTTATAAACAAGGCATGAATCTTCCCAGTAAAGTCTCTTTTGATTCAAGATTGCGAAGATGTTATGGAACCGAAGATGTTATGGAGTTCCATATATCTATGCACCAACTGAGAGAAAGCGGGGTTTTTTTTTGTTTGTGCGAGAATATATTTGATGTTGATAGTTATAGAGGAGCCGGGCTATACCATAGGCATTTAGTATAGTTTATCAGACTGCAAACTTTACCATGAATTACCATGCATTAATCTCAGTCTAACGAACATACCATCGCATTATATACATTGATATATTGATATCAAATAAGTGTAACCTTCATTTTTCAATACTCCCGTTAAAACTGCATAGATCTCATCTCTGATATACTTAATAAAAGAAAAGTGACTATATATAATTATATACTATACACAATTATTTGAATATTGGTCACAGCGTTGAACAATTTGAAGAAGATAGTTGAAGGAGTCTACCTGAAAATGATTAAGTTCTTTCATGCATGAATTTGTATATTTCTGGTACCACATCTAGAATATTCTCATCAGTTGGCTTAAAGCCAATCTTTCATTAAATTGGTCTAGGCAACATGACAAGCCGGATAGACTTGGAAATGTCACTTTGGTTATTTTGTAAAGTCGAAACGTCCAGTGAATCTTGATAGGAATGAAGACGTTAATAAATAATAAAAATAAATATAGTGTTTTCTACAACTGCCAAAACATATAATATACTATTAGATAGTTCGTCGACGTTTCCAGTGAATTTAACTTAGATCAGCTCTTAGATTACATGTACAGATTACATGCATGTATGATAAGGAAAATTCAAGAAAGCATTCAAGAAAAAAAACATAGTAAAAGCTTAAGGAAAACATATTCACACCAACTGTCAACGACTCAACGTATATGAAGGACAGTGAGTATTAAAACTTACTTGATATGTGTCATTCAATTTTCCATGATTACAGTGACAAGAATGAACAATAGAACTATAAGAAAAATTGTAAACAAAGTTTAATAGTGACACCCAATTTCCGTTTCAACTCATTTCAGCGCGAATGAAACTGGAATAAGCTGATGTACTCTAATTATTGAAGCCCGTAGATGGTCTTTTGACGTAAAACTAATAGTTATGCACGTCAATGGAGATATGTGTTCAATACTCTGATGACAGGAGATAGTAATATCTCTAAAAAAACAGACCGAATTGCATTCTAGTGATGTTTAAAATAACAGGAGTAGAGAATAAGTCTAAATTTAGTTGAATTACAATACCAAAACCAGATGGAAATTCCTTCATGATGATCATGTAGTTAAACACAGATATCATTAACCCAGTCTTAGTTCTGATCACGTACTTTCTACAGTTTTATGAAAACTTTTCTGTTGTCACCTTGTACATGCACAAACAGACATATAGGAAGGAACTTGAAGTTGGAGAGGCGCCCACAATCGTATTAAGGATGCCAGACAATAAAAAAAGCACTTTTCACTTTTTTTCGAAAAAAATCCCTAAACTGAGGACGCACGTAGCTTATGCTCCGGTTCCTACGGGAGAGACACATACAGGGGCGTAGCCACGGGGAGAATGGAGTGGTCTGGTTCCCCCCACCCCCACATCTTTTCAGGACCAATTTTGTAATTCTTCCAAAAGTGAGCAGAAATTGCATGGGGGGGGGGCTAACTTCATAATGCTTTCATCTATGACATAAAATTTACCAAATCTGTGGCTTACAGATTATCATAAAACGTGTCTAAATTACATGAGATAGCGTTTCGCAGACCCTACTGAAAATAGAAATATTTTCTGTGGGACCATTAACATTTCAAATCCTCCAATTCGGACTGGACTAGATTTCCAGCACAGTCTGGGGAAACCTAACCCTAATCTAACCCCAACTCTAATCTCTAACCCTAATCTAATCTTAATCTGACACTAATCTAAACTTGATGACCTTTTTTCTTTTTTTTTTTAATTCCGCGGACTTGAAATCTAGTCCAGTCCTCATAGTCGGATTTGAAATATTACATAACTCGTTTTTCCTGAAACTAAACGACGAATTTTCACGAATTTAAATATTTCATCATCAGCTCAAGCGAAATGTTTTTACGTTTGCCTTTACTGATTTTGAAGTTATAACAGATGCCGCATGACTCGGCAAGAGATTAAACAATGCATTCTCTATATCAGTGATTTTATGGGCGTCTAGCTCGATAGAACTAACAGCTGAAAGGTTTTTGTAGATGAAGATTTCTACCTGAAGAATATTTACAACTTTTAGACCAAACCATGAAGAGCAGCTGCGAAAAATGCAACTATGGGCCTGTGTTTTTACGTGAATTAACACGAATTTTATTACTAAGTTAAGCTTATTACTGCCGGTTAAATATAGTTTAATTATATTAAGATGGCCAGTTGCTGGCCAAACAAAGTCAATTAAGGAGTATTTATGAGTCATGGCCTTGATTGAACCTTCGCAAACGTTTGTTGTCTTACTGGTTTATGTTCTCAGAAACTACAAGCTTAAACGTTTTACTCGCTTTGCCGTTGCATCTTGAATTACTCAGATAAGCATTGATAGGATTCTTCAAAGCTGGACCTGCTCATTTAGTCAGTTCGATCTGTGCCAGCGTTTTTGTGCCAAAAACACCAGAAAACCGCGGATTGGCAGGAATTCAAGTAATTCGACTACCTGAATAGTATAGACCCATTGCACTGACGTCACAAATCCTTGGAGTGTCCTCCAGATGCTCCCTAACAATATCTGTTCGAGTACAACAACCACATACAACGCAAAAATTAACCATTTTAGAGAGGACACATATTGATAACAGTGTCTTGTGCACTGAAATGCTTTACCCTCTGTAAAGATTTTTGTAATAATAATAATAATATAAAGTTTTACAAAATTTGCTTTGTTTACAAAAGTTATATTATGCATAGATTGCTAATTTGTCCTCCAGATACATCGTCACTGGCGCTGTGACGTCATGTGCAATGGGTCTTAGTTACAACTTCGAGTCTCGAGCGAAGGCCATTCGTATGTGTATTTCAAGTAATATTTCAAATTCAACCATGAGGACTGGACTAGATTTTATAGTCCAGTCCCGGAGCAGTGGAGGATTTGAAATGACATCTCATATGAATAGATCACTACTTAAAGTGAGGTGAATTAATTTTGATCGAGTCCTAAGACTGGATCAATATACTTCACCATGTATCCAGTATTGTCATGTGAGCAAAATAGAGCAATATGGTTGGCTAGCTAATTTATTCATGTATTATTAATGAGTTTGAGATACGAAGGTCCTTAATCCTTATATATAGTCTGTGTATTTCTAGTGTACGTTTGCATGTCTATTTCAAAACTCGGAAAAATAAAACTATAAGATGTAAATAATATTTCAAATCTGACTATGAGAACTGGACTAGATTTCAAATCCCGCGCAATTGGATCAAAATTCAAGGACTTGAAATCTAGTCCAGTCCGAATTGGAGAATTTGAAATGACATCTCATACGAATAAATCACTACTTTTAAGTAGAAAAAGAATTAAAATTCAAAAAGAATTAAAATTCAAAAAGAATTAAAATTCTTTTTGATCCAGTCCAAGGACTGAATTAATTTTGATCCAGTTCTGGGACTGGATCAATCTTCTTCATCAGGTATCCAGTATTATCATGTGGGCAAAATAAAGCAATATGGTTGGCTAATTTATCATGAATTATTAATGAGTTTGAGATGTAATATATGAACAACGAGAGCGAGTGTTTCACCGGGATATCCAAACACGAGAAAACAATGTATGAAAACACGAGCGCGAAGCGCGAGTGTTTTCATACATTGTTTTCGAGTGTTTGGATATCCCGGTGAGACACGAGCTCGAGTTGTTTATATGGCTTCTCAAATGAATCGAGACGTAACAGAATGTTTTCGTTTGCTGATTTGAATAGAATTCTTAACCAAGCATAACGTAATTAGGAATTCTATTCAAGTAATTTTGCATGCGTAATTAAGATATTTAATGAAAACACTAGTGACTTTCATCAGGTATCCAAATGGCATCTTGTGATCAAATAAGTGATTATCATTGGCTGAATTGCTCATGAATTATTAATGAATTTGAGAAATACCTTTGAAGTTTTTCGTTAACATACTAATTCAGAAAAATACAAAATAACACTAACTCCAAATAACATTTTGATTTTTAATCGACGTTTCGACTAGTTTGTATGTCATCCTCAGGATTATTAATCCTGAGGATGACTACAAACTAGTGGAAACGTCGATTAAAAATCAAAGTGTTATTCGGAGTTACTGTTATTTTGTATTTTCTTGAAATACTGAGTGGTTTCCGTAAATACTAATTAAGGCAAGTATAGCTAACCGGCCCCAGGGCCTCATTAATAACCTAGACAAGTACTTAAATATAAGTGGGAGTAGTCAGTTGAGCTAAAAAAAATAAACATTGGTGAATTAATATGTTACATGTCCAGTTCATGCCTGGTACAGATAATAATGATTTCCTTTTCCGATACAACTAATTAACTACAAGACTCCTGGACTCTTATGGACTGTTTGACATTCCAACGTATCGTATATAACGAAACGAAAGTAGGGCGTAGCATTATTTCAGAGAAATGCAGATGGATGATAAGGACTCAACTACCTGAAAAATACAAGTAAAACGTCGACGTTTCCAGCGAAGGACATTAGTCTTAGCTTACTGGTAGGTATATGAGTAGGTATATTACTGATGTACTGTAAATCAGTTTAGTGGGGTGGATAAGTGAAAGTATTGTGCATTTTGTGAAGAAAGCACTATATTGACAGGATGTGTAGACTTTGACAGTAAAAGCTTAA